ACATACGGAACAGTAGTCCAGCAGTTCCACAGTCCTCAATAATTATGGATCCAAAGTAACAAAATTTGCATGTTAGTAGCGTAGAGGTTAAACTTATTAATAGAATAACATATTAGGGAAGTAGGATTTGAGGTTCTCATGGCAGTGAATATAAAGGTGGTTGTCTTCTGAGTTGCAGCACTGTACAGTCTGGTAGTCTTCCTGTTGATGGAAGCAGCAAACCTCTGAAATGGTAAATTTGTACCAGATTACACAGTACAACCAAGTAGACGGCAATTTTTTAGCAAAGTAAATTATGTAATAAGTAATATATTAGATCTACTCTTTTACCACAGTTGCCACCATTAGTTTGGTGGTGATGAGCAGGCTAGTGCGGGGTGTTGTAAGATCTGAGGTTCTTAAGGCAATGAAAATGTCAGTGTTCTTGGTTTACAACATATGGATTTGTCAGTAGATACCACTGTTTTGGAAAAACATATTATCTTCATCTTTGGGCTGAAAATGGGGACAGTGTTTCCCTGAAACGTTGGTCTCTACCCACAAGTCACAACCCATAGAACAATTACAATTACGAAAAATCATCAAAAATTATTATTACCAAGTGTAACGAGTATCTCTGAATTGGTACATTGCTCATCCTAGTTTAACATTGAGATTTCAGTGCTGCTCGCTGTTAAACCAAGGTTTTAAATTTGGCGTTATTTATTAAATTGGCTGCTTGTAAATTGTTGGTTTGAAATTTATTTTCTAAACTAATATGTGGGACAACAGTGTGAGATTATGCGTTTCGGTTACTCGTATTATTTTAACGTTATGATACTGCATATAAACCATTGGAATTATGACCTTGGAAGTTCTGTTAGTTTTCGCTTATGATTCAAAGATGGCCCTGCTCGTGTGCACTTGGCGTAATCCCACTCTCTTTCGTGGAAGGAAGTGGACATGGAATAACAATTACAGATTATCACAGAAAGCTGTTGGCTGGATTCGTAGTTGCGATGATCTGATTTTGGCACAGTATAGTGGTTTTAATTTTGTGTAGCCTTTGCTGAGTGTCTGTGATGTAAGGTGTGCCATTTCGTTTGTCGTTGGGAAACATTTTGTGTTTGTAATACGAATATCTAGAATTACAGAGTTCAGGTTGCAGTTATTCACACTTAAGAATATTGTAGCTGTTGATAATGATGAAATTGTCGAAGTCGTAAAGAGCGTCATAAATAAGTTATATGATCTGAATTGCTATACCGAAATTCGGGGAAATTGAAGTTGCCTTTGGTGGTGTAAGATATTTTACACTGAAGTAATTTTCTTGTTTTCACACACTTCAAATATATTAAATGAGAAATCGAAGTGTGGCATTTTGTTTTCGAACTGTTTAGATTAATAAGGTTTTATGTGGTTATTGCAATAGAATTGTGCTTAAAGTGGGGTATAGCTTTACAATATGGTTACTAGTTAAGGATGTGTCTTGCAGTTTTTTTTCGTATCTCCCTGGTATGGCTTTTCGAATATTGGTTTTTCCAAATTTTCGACAAGCATTTTCCATCTCTGGGCCGAATGTTCTTTTTTTAAGGGGAGATTAGGAAGCCCATATATAGGTCTGGCAGTGGACTATGAGTGTGAGGTAAAAAGTGTGAATTGGACATATGTAAGAGTAGAGTAGAGAACAACATTGAGGTGATGGCAGGGCAGAGTGAAAAAGGAAGACAGTTCAGAAGGAAATATGATAATAAAACAGTATTAATGGAAGAAATGAAAGAGGAATGTAAGAAACCAGGCATGCACAGACTGTGCCTGTCTTTGAATGACTTTTGGGGGGGTGGAGATGAAGCCAAAATTTGCTTTGTTTGTATCCATCTTCAGGGTTAAAGTTATTGGAGTGTTTTGTTAATACTGTATCTTCCTTGATAGTATGGGGGAGATTTGGCCGTATGTTGTTCTGATCCTGCAAAGTCAATGTGTTTAGTTTTTGTGGAGTGTTTTCTATCACTGGTCACTGGATAACAAGCTTGATGTCTTTCATGTTAATAAGTCCTGGTGGAAATGTGATGGTCTGCTGTGCTGATATACTGCTTATCACATCGGAGAAGTTCTTGAATATGCCTGTTTTTATATTAGGGGTTGTCTGTCCTTGCTAGGCTGTTTTGTTAAATGGTATCTGGATTGTGTGAATGCCTTGTTTTTTCATTGGCATGGAGGTGTCAGTTGTGCTGTGAATATAATGAATGTATACCATGCGATCTCTGTTTTCATAGCTTGCATTGGTGGATCTGCCCATGATTCTTTGGTTGATATCCTGGAGGGAGAAACCATTAGTTCAGAGGATGGACTTTACCTGTTGTATTTAGGAGGCCTTGCTGGACTAGTCACAAATTGTCTGTCAGGGTGATTATAATGGCTCTCATGTGAACTGGTGGGATTCGTGATAGCTGAAGGTATCTGTCAGTGTGGGTTGGCTTCTTGTAGATGATGATGTCTGAGTATCAATTTATAGGACATTTAGGAAGGATAATTTGCAATCCCTTTCCAGTTTTGTGTAGTACATGGTGTAGGGATACCTGGAGTTTGAGAGGCTAAGGAAGATTAAGGGGACTTGGTCCATGTGGCCAAATTGCAATGCCTGTGCCAGCAATTCAGTTTTATTGGGCTATAACGCATTGTGGATTACTTTGTTTTTGGACTTTATCTATTGTCTGACAGGATGTTATCGTCAGTGACGATGAATTGGTTAAGATTCAGCGGAAAATTGTGTTCAGTTTTGTACATACGATGTTGTGCTCAATCTTGGAGGAGGGGAGAGAATTGTCCAGTGTATCTGGCAAGTTGGTGGATAAGGTATCTTGTAGTATTGGCTTGTGAGTCATAAGGGAACACTGGATCTTGGAAAGGCTATAGATTGAAGGTGTTTTGATGTCCTGAATTTGAAGTGTCTGGCTTTCATTTGGGATAAACAGTTGGATTATTCTCTTCGTTTGATTCTCCACTTGTTTCAAGGGATTATGACATGATCTTGTATGTGGAATCTGCAAGGACGGTGTTGGTTTTGTCTGAGGAGTCCATAGTGACCGTGGCATTCCCCTTTTTCCATGATTTATTTTTCTAACCATGCAGTCACTCCCTATCAGTTTGCCTCTTGCTCCTATGTTTATCCATGCATGTTCTTTGTCATTTACTCATCACCCACTAGATATATGTAAGGGTTTCGTAACTTCCTCAGAGACAGTAAAATTAACACATTGTATTGGTTAAAAATTGTCTTGATGATTCTGTGTGCATTGTTATTCCTGAGTAGTATGTCTGTTCACCATCTAATTAAAATGACATGGTTCTGGCCTACTTTAACTTATATAATTGTATGTGTTAAGTAAAGTAATTTTATATTTCTATGATTAATCTGAATTTGGTGACATGTTTATGTTACAGTTGGTTTTATTAAGTGTCAAAACAACAAAAACTGTTGCCAGGTTTGGAAAACTGTGATGACAACTTAATTTATCATTAAATTTGGATTTTTGTTTACTCATCAGCTGTCTGAATAGGTAATCCTGTTTCAGGTACCAGGTCCTTCTAAATTGGTTGCAAAGGTAAAGGTTTCTTCATATATCACACCTTGGAAGCTTGGAACTTCTTCGCCAAACACTTCTCTTAATGCTAACATCGACCGATCAGCTGTGTGAGCTGTAGCATTTTCGTGCATGAATAAACTGTAAGTCTTTTTTTCATCGGTCATTTCTTGGAAAAAAGGTCTAAGTATTCAATTTACGTAACGTTCACAATTTATCTGCACACTGCAGCCTCATAAATTGTAGACCCGGTATAATGTTTGTAATATGTTACTATTACATTTAATAGGATGTCTGAAAGATGACACTGACAATACTTTTTTGTTTCCCATCTATGCAGTTCACAGTATGGGGAGGGTGAGAAACAATAATGTTTTGTTGGAGTTCATCTTGAAGCACTTTTATAAATAGAGATGATGTGTATTCTATTTCCCTGTACTTGTGGTTTTCAAATTTACACCATTTTACAGCCTTTTCTGTAGTATCAGTTGCTTCTGAAATTTATTTTATTCTGGATGTTAATGACAGCTGTGTGTTACTCTTGATAAAATTCAGTCTTTCTATTGACATTTTCAAGGCAGGGTTTGCTTTTATAAGTTACTGCTGTCAGGTTGAGTTCTTGCTTTGATTTATTTAAAAATTAATAGAGAAGTAGTGCAAGTCTATACTTGGTGCTTATCCATACTCCTTAAAACATGGTATATAGCACATAGTACATTGTTTCCCCACTTACCATGGAACCCAACATCACATCATGGCACAGTAGCAGCAGATTTAAAACCTTGAAACCTTGTAACAAATATAGCGGATACATTGCTGCTGGTTTATATAGAACAGATCTTGAATGTAGCCTGAAATTTGGACAATTTTTTGCTGAATGAATCTTTACAATGTTATTTGACATGTTACAATATCTCTTGATGGTGTTGGTTTCAAGGTAACTCTTAATTTTATCGGGGCCTGCCAGCTGGACTTAGCTACAGGGTATAACAGTCTGCTACTGCACGGCCAGCTGGATTGCATCTAAGCAGTGATCTACTGTTGATAAAGGTTAAATGGCATGTAGAGTTGAGAACCACTATACTGTATCACATTTACTGTCATGGTAATTTAATTCTTGGATTGGTATCTTCCTGTTTTATCCATTATGGTGCTCCCAGAATTGCAGCTGCTACAGTATTACACATCTGCGGAAACAAGTGTAGAAAAAATAGACTTTAGACTACACTGCACAACATTGCAGAAGACAGTCATGTTTATTCTCGTTATTACGAGAATCTGAAAGCTTAGCTTGATTGAATTGTTCTTGGAGGTTCAGAGTTAGTTTTTATTGTCAAGGAGATGGACCATTTTGTTGAACCCTTCAGGCATGTCTTATAGTTCCAACATTGCTATCCTTCATTTCTTGATATGATTATAATGCTTAACAGTACATTTGTATCACAGTAGTTTCTCGTGGATGGCGGCTATCAGGGATGGTATTTTGCCATTTGATTCTGTTTGAATTTACTTGGGATTTTGTGTTCCAAGGCTTTTGTGAGGACAATGCAAGGGTGTCAGTACATAGAGTAGCATTTATCAGGGGTTGACTGTGAGCAAATGTGATATCAGTTTATGCATAATAGAAGAATACCACATCTCTTACTATATAAGTGCAGCATATAATTACAGTTTTTTCATAATGCATAAGATATAGGATAAGGAAATGTATTATTGCTAAGTGTAGGATTATTTTGTTTGCCACTACTACAAGAATGCTCAGGGATCCACCAGTCTTCCATCCAGTGGGTATCAAGAACTTCTTGCTGGAACAAAGTGCAGTGCATTAATTTAATCAGTATTCACTGCACAATCATGGGGTTAAGGATGTGTGGAGTTATCTGTACTGTCATGATGTTTGTATTGACTGATTGTCATGACATTCTACCAATTAATTCAAAAGTTAGTGTAATCCACACGTTCACTCCAATAGTAACTATGCATCTTGTGTCTGTTTCAGAAACCATTCTATGAATTGCTGTGATTAAGTGAATATTTTTATATCCTATTATTATGTTTCTGAAGAATTACCAATTTCATGTTTACTTTTGCTGCCAATTTTATTTTCATATATTGTATATTTTTACTTAAACCTTGTTAAACATGGTTCATGAAATGGAAAACACATCAAAAGCATTTTTCAACATTGAAACCTAGTGACTTTGGGAGTGAAACATGTTTATAGACTTGTGCAGACACGTGGTTTCTGATGTGTTGTTATCATAATACTATGTGTAAGTATTTACAGTGAAATTTCAAGAAATGCATTGTGATAACATTCAGAACCACCTCTAGTTGTTCATCATAGAAAGAAAAAAATTTGTTGTTTTTCCTTCTTTCTTTTGCTACCTTTGCTACTACCTTTCTTTTTTCTTCTCGCCATTCAGTGTTTGGTTTGTTCTCTTGCTTTTACATACTTGAATACTGGAGGAAGAATCAGAGGAATGGAGTTTTTAAAGGTATTTTTCTGTTGCATATAACTTGGTCCAAGGTTTTGACTTAGGTTAAGTGTTATAATATTTAAATCTGATATATTTTTTCAGGTATTATGGTCTTGGTTCTGGAGCTGAGAGGGAGATCAACCTGTAGTGTTTCTTCATTATATAAGTTGCTCATTTTTGTGGGGAATTTTAATTTAGTTGTCCAAAATAGCAGATGAATACAAGTGATAAAGTAAATTATAATTCTCATCTTTGATGGAGCTGGTAGTTTACTATTATCAGTTTGTACATTGATTCTGAAACCTTATTTATGAAGAGTAAGAAAACATCCCTTCACCATCATATTTATCATCATTCAGCAACCATGAAGTTAGGTCATTTGTTGGTGCATTCCAGCCTCCAGTCATCAGCAAGTGTCTTTAGAGTATCCTTAATTCTTTATTCCATGTGGTTTGTGATTTTTAATGGTTTAGGCAGCCTTGTCTGTGCAAAAAATTCATTTAATTAATATTCTGAGAGTTTATTTTATGTCTGATATATACGCATACACACACACAGGTGTCCCTCGATTTGCGTCGATTTAGAATAGCGCCGCTTTTGAAACCAGCAAGTCAAAAAGTGAAAGAAAATTTTTTTTACTATTATTTGTAACGTTTTACAATGTTTCTCGTACTGATTCTTATACTAAATCGTAATTCTTAGATCGCTGATTTTGAATAAAAATTATAAATACAGTCATCTCTGCAATTAACGCGAATTTGCTGCAATGAGATCGATGAATCAGTAAAAGCTGTTTGTGAAATGCAAACTTTTGCATATGCGAGTTTGCTATTATGCAGTTTAATTCCTGGTGCATTAAACTTTCAAAGGACTAATTTAATCTCTGCTAAGGTACCGCGGTTATTTTTACTACACGATTTTCTATAAGTCGGCGTCTTACATGAATGCAACTATCGCATAACAGCAGAGATGACTGTACACATCAATCACATGAAAGAATGGGGACCAACAAATTGCCGATTGTAAGTGTATAAAGTATATTTTTTAAATTCCCTTTATTTTATTTACATTATTTCAGAGCTTTAAATGTAATGCCATTATATTACTTGTCAACATTATAAAAAGAGTTTCAATTTACGCCGGTTCGTCCAGGAACGCATCCCCGGGGTAAATCGAGGGTTACCTGTATGTATAATAGAGTTAATTAACCATTAAATTGAAATATGATTGTGAATAACAAATTTGGAAGGGTGTTAATGATGTCTTGGTCTATGTGTAAGGTGGTATCCCAGCATTCGTCTAGAGAGAGAAAAGAAAATTATAGAATGTCATTCTAATCACTGTTAAAATATGGACAAAAATTAAATTTTTGTGAATCCTAAAACACTGCAATTTCAAGGTGTTCATGAAGACCCATTTTAAAATTTAATACAAGTTTGTGGAATTTGTTTTATTTTCTCTGTGTTTTGATTACTGATTTCCTTATCATGACAGTTTTAGTTTTGTGTCTTGAGATATGCTGTGTGTGTATCATTGACGCATAGACAATATTAATACAGAATTTGTTTGTATGTTTATGATTTGCATTGAAAGTTTCACATGTACCAAACTAGTGTTTCATTAGTCATTACAGTCAAACCACAGTGTTTTTTTTAGCTGTAATATTGTTTTATAACATAATTTGCATATTACTCTAAGGTTTATTGCTGCACAAAATTTCAGGACTTTGTATTTATGTAGTGCTAGTATTACTCCCACTTCAGAATTTTATGCTTATGCCAGTCTGGTGTCACTTGAGGTAAGAAACTAAAGGGGGTGGGAGGTGACCTCTGGCGCTATGATATTCATAATAGGTTTCATGACATCCATCATTTGATTTCAAAGTTGGTGGTGGTTGCAGGTACGTGGACATGATGTAACCATGAGTTCCTTCATGTAAATAAATCATAATGTCTGTGTTACTGATACAGGTAGTATTTTTCTTGCTGATAAAGTAAAGCTGTCCCTCTTTACACCATGTAGGCACTTGGGGGAAGAGGTGGTATAGCTCTACTCATTCTTAACCTTGGCACTAGTTGGGAGTGAGTGGTTAGCATCATGCCCCGGCCATACTTTACCCCTGGTAAAGGACCCCAGTACCGATTGGGTAGGAGGGTGGGTGGGTATTGACACACAGGCTAGAGGATAAATTCTCTGCCCCCATTAGGGATTGAACTTCAGTTGTCCAGTCTGTAGCCATTCACTATACTGACAGCTACCCTGGCTCATTTTCTCCTGCTAGGCACTTCAATAATACATTAACATCGACAGTCATTCTGCACAGAAGTTATCATGACTTGTTCTTGATGCATTGCGTTCTTTTCATGTTATGTATATAGTGTCTTCTGTTAGAGGATTGTGGTGTTTGCCTGATTTCTGTATCATCAATTGTCACAGGTTGATTCGGTAGCATTTCTGCTTTGTAAGGAGTCTCTGATTAAAATCTCAGTCTAGTGACTGACTGTTCTGATAGGTTTCTTAAAGGTTCTTATTAATCCTGCCAGGAGCATTATTGCATTGCAATAGCAAATAATTCTTGGTAGGTTTCAGTGAATGATTCACTAAAGGTTGGTATTTTCCCATATATGTTTCATTGACCTCTCATTCTCACAACCTACTTTACTAAGATTATCTTAATTTCATCCACCAGTGGTGGGCCTTATATTAACTGTGTTTTACCTTTTGGTTTTGCTACTCCAGAGTTGTGTATGTGCGTACAAATAACTTGCATGTAACATGCAGTGTCAGTATTTGATGTCCTATGTGAATTACACTAGTTAGTATATGATCTCTATTGTTATAATTTTTCTTGTTCCATATTTAACAGGCCCCAGCATAAAGTTATCTAAACTCTTAAAACATAACAACGATAATAGGGACAAGAGTTGATATGAAGTTGCGTTCTGGAAAGCACGTAACGAAAAAGAACAAATCATTAAAGAATGTCATTGAAAAGAGTAGTGCAGAAGTTTTGAAGATAAGACAGAAAGAGAATGTGTTGTGTGACATCAGTGTAAATGGCAGTTCATCAATAAATGAAGACTCTGGTGATGTTTCATCGTATGGTACAGGACTGAAGACGGCAGTTATGAAACGTCGAAGCCAAACTTCAACTTTGTCTGTTACACTGACAGATTGGTCTGGAAAATCTCCCAGCAGGACTGTTACAAGAAATGAAGCTTTGTCTCATATTCACCAAGCTTCTTTGAGTAGTAATTTCATTCATTCAGTTAATAACAGTGATGACATTCCTGTTGGTCTGTGCAACACGGTTACGCCACGCTTTACAGAAATGTCTCCATCTAATGATAGCAGTATAAGAGGCACAGAGCAAGGTAACAGCCCCCTTATTGTAGATGTGACAAATATAAGGGAAGGCAAAGCAGTGAACAAAAGGAAAGTTTGCTCTGTGGTCAGCAGTATCCTTGATCAAAAATCTGAATGTGCTGAAATGGTTTGTAAGGTTAGTAATAGTGTCTTAAAAATTCCGAATGTAGAGCGAAGTCGCTGTGATCAGTCAGTAGAAAAGGTTACAAATGTAAAGCGAAGACGCCGTGATAGATCAGTGGAAACGGTTACAAATGTAAAGCGAAGACGCCGTGATAGATCAGTGGAATTAGTATCTACAAGTGTGAAGGCGAAGATGAGTGAGAGACCTGCAATACCCAAACATGACAAACATACAGAAAAGGAGGATGATGGTTGTTCTATCATCAGTTTAGGAAGTGATGATGAAGTTGTGATTCTTGATAGTGATCCCAAGCCACGATTGGACTGTGGCAGTACCAGTGACATTACTGTAGATTCACTGCCTTCAAAAAAGTTTGTCCCAACTTCTGATATTGTGACAATAGACTTATGTACACCAATGAGAAAGTCAGACAAGTCAAAATCTCCTGGATGTAACAAACCAAAAAGTGTAAGTTATAGAGTGAACATAAAGAAAAGAAAAAAAGAACGAGGTTTTGCAAATTCAGCATTCAGAGAATACAAGTCAGTTCTGAATAATAAGCTAAACACTGCTGCCAATAAACCAAATGACATGTATTCACTTCTGAATCATAATACATGTCAAGGTACTGTGCCATTTTCTACTTCTCCATCTGAAATTTCAGCCTTCACACCAGCTCTAAATCCCACTCTTGGTAGGATCATGGATTGTGGAGTAATTGCTACTTCAAGTATGATGGGGTGTAGCAAAATAGTTCTGAAGAATGCATGGACTCCAAACATGTATGGCAGTAACCTAGAATACCAAAATCCTCACTGTGTGAAAATGGGTCTGCAGCCAGTTAATAATGAAGTGAATTGGGCCAGTGAAACATCTTTAAGTGTGTATGGCAACAACTTATATAATCCAAATCCTGTTGCTGTGAGAATGGGTCTACGCCCAATTGTTATTGATGGCAGCAACATTGCAATGGGGTAAGGTTGAGTTTTATTGGTGTGCATTTAAAATATACGATTTTATCTTGTTAGCTTTTGTAAAGTTCAACATCTAGATTTTATAAGATCTTAAGCAGACATTCTACACTAGCAAAATCATTTCTGGGTGTATGCTGTGTCTGTTTTTTTTTGAATGATATGCTTTCAAAACTACATTAGTGCAATCATAAATAATAAGCTCCACTTGTATTAACAAAGGAAGTATGATATTTGCAAAGTAGTATAATTTTTAAATCATTCTATGATCATACATGATAAAGGTAAATGATAAAATTATTCCTGTTGTGGAGATACAGCTCCACAGATTTTTTTCAGTTGGGAGGGGGGGAGGGAGGTAAGTAGTTGGTTTAAAGCATCAGTCTTCTTATACCAAGGAAAAGAGTCATTGATAGTGACAGGATAGACTTAGTAAGCCCACAGTCAGTCTGGTTTAGAGAAGAGTGCTGTGCTATTGGCAACATCGATTTTATCGTCGTTATTCAGAAATAACTTTGCCACCTGGTGCTTGATATCTGAAGTAGCAGTGATGTAATTGTTTATATTTCACTGGCTAGTAGCCATGGTTAAGTGCTGGAGTGATTTGAATCGCTGGTGCCTGACAAAACTGGAAGAATGATGAACATTGAAATGAAAGGCTGTTCTGTACTCTATTTTTCTCATGCCCTATTTTTATCAGTGATTCCACATGACAAGCATGACATGTTTTTGTTGTGAATAATGTAGTACCTTCACTTTTGTGCCCTCTTTTCTGAAACTTGTGGGGTAATACAGGTATCAGGTACTCTTGATCGCAATCACTGCTTAAAATTACTGCTATCCACAGGTAACATAACTGGAACCATGGAGGTTTGAAAATCACATTAACATTCATCTCTAATGTAGATATGGCAGTAAAAGGAGAAATTACTGTCCCTGTTGGGAAACAAATCTTGGTTGTTCAGCCCATAGCCAGTCACTTACTGACTGACCTGTCTCAACTGAGCCTTTATGTAAAAAGTAAAGTTTGTTCCACTGTACGCCATGTAGGCGTTTGGGGTGAGTGGAGGTATAGCTCCTCTCTTCCTTGACCTCGGCACTAGATGGGGGTGAGTGGTCAGCATCACGCCCTGGCCGGCTTTACCCCCGGGAAAGGACCCTGGTACCCATTGTAGAGGAGGCTGGGTGGGCCCCAGAGCCGGGCTGGACGCAGAGGCTAGAAGAAAAATTCTCTGCCCCCATCGGGGATCGAACCCCGGTCATCCAGCCCGTAGCTAGTCACTATACTGACTGAGCTATCCCGGCTCATGATCCTTTATGTAACATCTGTTATTAAGGAAAGTACTGGTCCTGGGTTTGTTTCTTCCTTCTCATGAATATGTTATTGCTGTTGTTACTATGAGGTGAGGCTGTCTTTTTGGAACTGTGACCACTAGTGGCCCATTGCCCATTCCCAAGCTGATAATCTGGTTGTGTGGAAATGCAGTATAGTAAAACATTTATTTTATATTCCTCTCATTTTAGTGGTTTGGCATGTAGTGTAACACTACTAGCTAGGCTAGAGCAATCTCCACAGACTACATTATAGTTGGTGTCAGTTCTATATTCCACAATGTTTGTATTGAAATCATTCGTGTGTTTGAAAAACCGTATTGTATTGTCGTGTTTATAATCATGGCAGTGAAATCTGTTGACACTTGTTTCCACCAGTAAATTGTTCATTCACTTCAGTCATGTATTATGGTTCCCTTTTTCATTTAAATTGATTTCTTTTTCTGGAAATACCAATTTTTGTTTGCAGCATTTGGCAGGTTTCTCCAAAATTTTCCATTTTTCAGAAGCAGTATAGCGAAAATGGTTGAGTGATACCTTTTTATCACCCCTCCCAATACATAAATTAGGCCAGTACACTTAATATTAAAAATTGTATTCATCTCAGCAATTTTGTACTGTTATCATCACAGCAGGAGTGATAGTTTGTTGTTGAGGGAAACAAAACTACAAGATTACTCTGAGGGCTTTCACTTGAACTTGATCTTTCAGTCCCAATACCACACACATAAGCAGGATGTTCTTGAGACTTGGAAACACTACATGAAGTTCCACCATTCTTCACCTCTTGCTTAAAATATTATGTAAATATTCTGTCTATACAAAATCTGATGTACATTTTCATTTTCCATCTTTAAAAAACTTGTCATTAAATTGAAACAAGCACTTATGACATTGTTTCATTCATAAAATAATTGTATTAAATTGTGGAAAGCTGTGGTTATTGAAGACTGAGTTATGCTGATTCATTTGACTCTTGTCACATCTTGTTTGAAGCCTAAAATAATTACATTTGAAATACTTAAACATGGTAATGGCATATCATTATGTTTCATCAGAAAACAAGCACACTTCAAAAGTAATAAGTTTGGTATAATCCTGATATATGCAATTGTGAATTGCGTAATGATAATGCTAATGCTACTAATACTTTTCCCAATAAATCTCTGTCAATATTTTGTTCTCTAGACACACCAATGGTAGACACTTTTCATGCAGAGGATTACAGATCTGCATAGACTACTTCTTGAAACGAAATCACAAAGTGATGGCCTTTGTTCCTCAGTTCCGTAAAAGTTCCCGCCACAGCCAAGATACAAAAATACTGGATGTTCTGGAGAAACAGGGTCTTGTATCATTCACACCTAGTCGTAGGATTGGAAACCGGCTAGTGGTTCCTTATGATGACAGGTTGGTTGTCTTTCTGTTCTGTAATGTAGCATCCTGGTGTGTTCACTGCTAATCCACGTCCAGTTACCGTCTTCATGCAACCAATTCAAGTAGTGTCTCATTTCTTACAGTGTTTATGTCACATACTTGTTTCAGAAGTTTGCCACTTGTGTCATTATTGAAGAGTGTCAAGATTATTTGAATTAGTAGGCAGTGACTCATGTGGAAGAAAGTGTTGAACCTGATGATGATTCAACTTTAATCAAAACATGTAGTTCAGTAATGACACCAATGGCCAACTTATGATACAAAAATGGTATAAACAGGTAGAGGATGTGAACATAACTGACTGTAAAATTTGCTTTGTGAAGTTGGTTAATTGAATGGTTTTTAAACAATTTGTGTGTCCTCCCTCCCTCAAATTTGGTGTGTTAGTTTTCCGAGGACTTGTTAAAATTCCCAAGTGTGTAAAGTGCCTTTGTCTACTTGACATATCTATAAAGTTTTTTTATCAGACACCAATTTTAATTTGCCTTTTGACCATTAATTCACCAGCAGTATTGTGTGGCAGGTTCTGTATAGTTTAGCGGCATATCCATAAAAGTGAAAAATTTTATCTGAAAATTTTGCAGGTCCCGTGTAAAGTTTTGTCAGTTATATTTTTTAAATTTAAGGCGTTATTTATTGACTGTCTTTGTAAAGAATTTTTCTGTTGTGTAGTCATTGGTTCCCAGAATTTTCCAGTAAAAAGCAATGGGTGTTCAGGGAATTGATACCTTATCTGTCTTACATTATACAGCACAATTTACTGAAGAAATGTCCACCCACAAGGAACACTGGTAGTTCAAAAGTTTGCAGGAGTATGTATGAAGTGATTGTAGCTGTTGTCTGTTTTCAATGATGTGGGTTCTGTAACTGCACTGCCTGAATGTATGTGGGGTTTAGCACCTGTCTCTGATACTTTTGTATTCTCATCCTTGCCACTTGACAGGTAATACCATTAGAAACTGCATAAAGCAGAGAAGAAAAAGTTTTGCAGTGTTCAGCATTAATTATTTATCTGTTGAAGGGGAAAGAACAGATTTTTCTAGTTGTATGATATTAATTTTTCTAGCAGTGATATATGAAGGTTCTGGAATTGCAAAAGCTAGAGAGATGATAAATCATATTTCTTTGAACACCAATAACTGTAATGATTTTGAATGAGGCACTTGTTAATAACATTTCTTATTCAAAATTTGTTCATTTATCATTTTAAGTTTATGCACTTTCTCCTGGGATACCCTTTATGTATAACTCTGGCTAGATTAAATTATGGAATGGCAGCAGTCTTGAAATATACAGTTGTGAAATAATGGTGTAATGGATATTGAAATAAGTGAATACATAAGCTCTTTAGTTCTGTAACTCCAGTTTTTTGTAATGTGGAATATGTTAGGAACTGTGGTAGACACCAAAATTTCTCTTTAATTATTATACATGTAAGAAGGGTGTATAATTTATTACAGCAGAACTCAAACTCATATTCTGTCATGAAACAATGTTTGTATGCCTGTTATAGATACATTGTGCAGTACGCTGCTGAGTGCGGTGGTGTTATTGTTTCAACAGATAATTATCGCGATCTTCTACAAGAAAATCCTGCCTGGAGAGAGACTATTGAAAGGAGGTGGGGAAAGTTGAAGTACCATAGCTATGCGATGGGAGGTGGGAAAAGTTGTAGTAGCCATGTGGCACAAAGTTTTTTGTGCCATGAATGCAAGCTTTAAATAATACAAATTATATTCAGTATTTTGATTTAATCTTGATATATATAGGTTTTTACATTCATAGTTTCCAGTTTCTTTGAGACATTAATACTGTCTTATCAGATGACAAATTGTAAAATAATAAGAGTTAAGTGGATGAATATAATAAGATCATAATCATAAATAATTCACAGATTCTGATGTGGTAAATATTTCAGGTTCCATTAACTACTACTCGTATTATCTTGAATTAATTCATAGCAGTTGAAGGTTTGTGTCTGAATAATCATGCTGTATTTCATTTTTAGCAGTAATTTGCTTTGTTATTCATTGTTATGCTTTATCTTTATTTCTTCATTTAGCGGTTTTTGCAAGCAGTTGTGTATTTGATGAAAGACTTCGCTTTATACATCAGTTGTGTAGTGTTGCTTTGTTGTTATTTCTGAATTATTATTTTTTGTGGATAAGGATCTACAAAGTAACTGAAAGTTTTGATGGTGAAGTAGAAGATACTTCTGCCTGGCATTGACACATCTTAATTAAAATACCCACATCCAGATAGTTCTGTTGACATACAAGCTCAACATTAGGTTGAAGTGAAAACTTCTGGTCTACCAAATATAACAACATATAAGTAGAGCATGAGATAACTTGTGATAATAATAAAGCTATTATACGCAGAGCATCTCCCTGTGTTGTAAGGTGTTTTGAAAGAAGACTCATGTGCATTGTCTTATTTATGTTTTTGAGATCACAAAACTGTCTAAAATAATGTTTTCTTTTTGCTCTGAATTCTTGGGGGGGAAAATGTAAGGTGCATTGTTAGAGGTGGGGAATTTCTTGACAATCCAATCTTGAGGATAGTTCTCCATGCAGTTAGTTATTGATGTAGGTTTTAAAGTTTCTCGGGTTGAAGTCCAGCCACTTTCAGACTGCAAGGAATATCTCTGGATCTCTGGTCTCTTCCTGTATATACAACTGTGGTTGATGTATACTGGCCTGTCTTGCATTGGGAAGAGTACTGCTAATATGGAAACAACATTGCTACATATAGCAGAACAATGCATTATGAATTGCAAGTTAAGAATGTGGCCAATATGCCATCACATTTTGAAACCTCCGTAATTTTATCATCAGTCTGACATAATAGAAATGAAGAATATTAAAAAAAGCCTGTGCAATTTATTTCAGGTATTGTCCTTTCCATACAAATGAAAGGTCTTAATGTGCCTGTAGTTTCAGCATTTTCAATCATAGTCCATCTGTTATTAATATTTATTTTGAAAGTGGTAGGCACATTCATAACCAAAAGTTGCAGAAATATCCCTATTAGCTTTTCCCTGTCTGTCTGAACACACAACTTATGGACTGCTTGGTACTGGGCAGTTTTCTAAAATTTGTTGACACATTCCAGTTATGATTAAAATTTGATAAATATGGTTACTTTGCACTAAGACCTACATGTTTTTGTATGGGAAATCCTCGCAAACCAGCTGCATAACCACATAAGAGATTTATCAGGCAAATCTTATGTGATTACATCATCACTTATCCAATCCAGACATACGGTGCACACCCTGCTTACAAAAAAGTCTTTTACCCCATACATCACTGATGCCATTTGAAAAGGTCAAATTCTGGTGAATATACCATATTTATTATAGTGTGCAGGAATTTCATAGCTTCTTAATATAAATGTTCGAAATAGTTCATCATTATTTGCTTCTGAGCATGTTTACTTGCATTCTTTGACATTCTCTAGCATTCATGTTTTGAATTATGGGTATTGCTGATATGCAGGTATTCACATGTTATTATGAGCCAGAACTGTCACTTTCCTGTTTGTGATATTGCAGGTTGCTGATGTTTACCTGGGTAGGAGATGTACTCATGTTTCCGCAGGATCCGTTGGGCAGAGGTGGACCAAACCTGGAAAGATTTCTCAGATTTCCATAGTCCAAGCACATTGACATGCAATGGAGACTGCTTGCTTTTTCAAATAATTTTTTTTTGTACTATAAAATGTACAGAAGCAGAAACCAAAAACATAACTTACTGTTGAAATATTGTATGTATTTGCATATTTTTCCTCAAATAGACCTTTTCTAAAAATGATGGTTTCTGCTTATTTCTGTTATGAGAGTGACATACATAATGAGGAAAGGGAATTACGCTATTTAGAAGGTGAAAAATTTATTTTTGTAGCAGTTCTTGTAAAATGTTTGTTTTTGTAGTTGACTTGTGTTGGTGTGTTTGGCATACAATATGAAGTAGAACTTCAAATCAGAATGATCCTGTGATCCCATTTCAAAATTTTAGTTTTACATTCTTGTGTGATTTCTGTTTAAGGCAAGTACATGATATTTATTAGGATTCTAATCATAAATTCTGTCCATAGTCACATAGACTGTAAGGTTTGGAAAACAAAAATAAAGGATGTTTAGAAAATGTGTTATATTTTTAAATATTGTTTCAACTGTGAGTTGACAGTGTAGTCCTGAAACATCCTTTTCCTTCTTATCTCCACTCTCACTGTCATATGAAGGATAGATTAAGTAAAAATTGTGCATGAAGTTATAATACAAACGTTTTCTAGTAGGATTTGAAGAGAATTGACCACAATTGTTGGCCATGTAAAAGAATGACTATAACTAAGATGCAGGGGACATTATGATTGAAGTGTGAATGAGATACCCATGGTATTACCTGTAAATATATATTTCAATGAGGTACTAGAAGACTTCAAGAGCAGAGGAAAAGGGTGGCAATAAATCAAAAGGGAAAGATTATAGGAAGGTAGAAGAGACTGAAAACTTCATCATGGAAATTTATGTCCACTGGCCTAAGTTGAGATTTCCATTGTTGGTCTATGGTGAGCTGTGGTTTATAACAAACCATTGTCTTATGAATTGTATTATTTAATATGAATTAATTTGCCATTGATGATGACCTCTTGAGGTAGAAACGCGCCTGGCACTAAGTGTCTTTTCAAAGTGTAAACAGTTTTTTGTTTGTATGCATGATTTTTATATGATGCTCAAACTGCTATGAGAAATTTCACCCCCATACATGGCCTACTTCAATTTCATAAAAGTATTTTCCGTATTCTTACATGGCCTACCTTGATTACACGCGTTTGAATTTGACAGATTCAAACTCTGTATTTACAGAGTACTCTGTAGTTGTTTGAGTGTACCAACGTAAAGGCCAATGAAATTACAGGACACTTATGCGTATATGCCGATATGCTTGGTTATCCGTCTACACAAGTATTCTGTGGTTAGTACATGCAATGGTGGATGGTGTGGAGGAAATTGGAGGTGGATAGCGGCGTAATTTCGAAATGTGGCGATGTATATCCATTTCATGAAGCAATTACGAAACAGAATATGTGGCTTTCTTTCGTAATGTAAGGCATAGGTAATGATAACCAATAGTTCTATTAACAAGCTCAAGGCTTCTAAAAGCTCAAGAGACTTGGAAGACATAGGGGAAGGTGAGGGACATATCAAGTGCAGCCTGTCTGAAAAGGGAGAAGGAGAAAAGGATAAGCTAACCTCCATTTCAGGCGATAGTGCAAATATCCGAACTCCCTTACCTACAATTGTGATTTGTCAACGAGAGAGACCTGATAATAGGCTTAAGTCACGCCCTCGTGTAAGAGATGAATTTCGAATGGCTCGAGGAGGTCCAGTGGATAGGAGAGGTTCCAGTGTTCGGAGCAGAGGAGGTGGTATGTCGAGAAAGGTGGAAAGAGAGGGCGAATCAAATTTATTATCTCGTAAATTTCAAGAATCGTTGAACAAAGGCAACTCTGACTCTGCTGTTTCATCTGCATCATCATCAAAATACTACAATGATATTGAACGTAGCAAGAGCAGATTGGGTATGTTATTTACTTTATGAATTAGTTATTTGTTGTGTTTGATTCATATATTTGATCTGAGTGCTATTCAGCACAATCAATTTTGTTGCAGATTTTGGGTATATGGTTCCTGAGGACTCGAGGATATCTAAACTACTGCGCCGCTTGTGTAGAGAAGATGACTCAGAGAAATTCTTAGTCCTTTGCAAACAGTTACAGGTGGGTAGATGATTGTACTGGTTGTGATACTGCGATGGAGAAGACAACGAGAAACCACTCCATTATAATTCCCTAGTACAATCAAGCATGGCAGTTAGCCGCCAGTAAAGCTCAAATTGCTATGCTGTTCGCCAACATCCGGAACAGATAGGCACTTTAAGAAGAAGAAGATAATTAATGTTTCTTTACTATTATTTTTAATATTTTAACAAGTTACTGCTTTTGTTATCAAAGTGCATATTATTGTATGTGCCCTACACCTTCACATTCTAGGCAAATCTAGTGGTCTGGGTAGATTAGGTTACATGAAGTTAACTTGGTTTAGCCTAAGTTAACACAAGTTATAGGAACACATAGCACTACTGAATACTTTTTGTTTGGTAGGTTAGTGATTTAGATGTGCGTATAGAATCAGCTAAATGTTCACTTGGCATACAGTTTCTATATCATAGATATTTGAGCATCATAACCTGTGGTCATGTATTTTTGTGTTAGTTGTATTGGATTGTGCTGAAGGAACAGGCACATCAGAAATGCCTGTTTCGATAAAGGAGGAATTAATAAGTAGGTATTCCAAGAAGTAAGCGGACAGAAACCTAACTATATGTTCGTCTTTTTACCAGAATGCACAATCAAATCATAGCACAAAGATATATAATAAACACTTGAAAGCATGGCAGAGTTCATGTAATTAGGACAAACATTAAGAAATCAAAATTGTATTTATGAATAGCTCTTCAAATAGGACTATGGTACATTAAATTAATTATAAGAATCTATACAAGAAGCTTCTAAGTAATTAACTCCATTCCAAAATTTCCTTTTTGAGTGTGTTTGAAATTACATTTTTCACAGTTATGAAAAGTTTTTAGCTTTCCAAGTCAGGGAAAAGGATAAGCTAACCTCCATTTCAGGCGATAGTGCAAATATCCGAACTCCCTTACCTACAATTGTGATTTGTCAACGAGAGAGACCTGATAATAGGCTTAAGTCACGCCCTCGTGTAAGAGATGAATTTCGAATGGCTCGAGGAGGTCCAGTGGATAGGAGAGGTTCCAGTGTTCGGAGCAGAGGAGGTGGTATGTCGAGAAAGGTGGAAAGAGAGGGCGAATCAAATTTATTATCTCGTAAATTTCAAGAATCGTTGAACAAAGGCAACTCTGACTCTGCTGTTTCATCTGCATCATCATCAAAATACTACAATGATATTGAACGTAGCAAGAGCAGATTGGGTATGTTATTTACTTTATGAATTAGTTATTTGTTGTGTTTGATTCATATATTTGATCTGAGTGCTATTCAGCACAATCAATTTTGTTGCAGATTTTGGGTATATGGTTCCTGAGGACTCGAGGATATCTAAACTACTGCGCCGCTTGTGTAGAGAAGATGACTCAGAGAAATTCTTAGTCCTTTGCAAACAGTTACAGGTGGGTAGATGATTGTACTGGTTGTGATACTGCGATGGAGAAGACAACGAGAAACCACTCCATTATAATTCCCTAGTACAATCAAGCATGGCAGTTAGCCGCCAGTAAAGCTCAAATTGCTATGCTGTTCGCCAACATCCGGAACAGATAGGCACTTTAAGAAGAAGAAGATAATTAATGTTTCTTTACTATTATTTTTAATATTTTAACAAGTTACTGCTTTTGTTATCAAAGTGCATATTATTGTATGTGCCCTACACCTTCACATTCTAGGCAAATCTAGTGGTCTGGGTAGATTAGGTTACATGAAGTTAACTTGGTTTAGCCTAAGTTAACACAAGTTATAGGAACACATAGCACTACTGAATACTTTTTGTTTGGTAGGTTAGTGATTTAGATGTGCGTATAGAATCAGCTAAATGTTCACTTGGCATACAGTTTCTATATCATAGATATTTGAGCATCATAACCTGTGGTCATGTATTTTTGTGTTAGTTGTATTGGATTGTGCTGAAGGAACAGGCACATCAGAAATGCCTGTTTCGATAAAGGAGGAATTAATAAGTAGGTATTCCAAGAAGTAAGCGGACAGAAACCTAACTATATGTTCGTCTTTTTACCAGAATGCACAATCAAATCATAGCACAAAGATATATAATAAACACTTGAAAGCATGGCAGAGTTCATGTAATTAGGACAAACATTAAGAAATCAAAATTGTATTTATGAATAGCTCTTCAAATAGGACTATGGTACATTAAATTAATTATAAGAATCTATACAAGAAGCTTCTAAGTAATTAACTCCATTCCAAAATTTCCTTTTTGAGTGTGTTTGAAATTACATTTTTCACAGTTATGAAAAGTTTTTAGCTTTCCAAGTCAGGCTACAGTAGCCTGTTTAACCCATAATTAAAACTGAAATTTAGAATGAATAGTAGATGCAAAGTGTTGCCCTCAGTGGACTAGTGGTTAAGTGTGCTTGCAGTAACAAATCAGAATGGCATATATGGTGAATTTAAGAGCAGATTGAATTCAGAAATTTCTTACTAATATTCAGCTTAGAATATTTTGTCTTTTAATGCCCTACTTAATACCTGAAGGTTAAAATGTGCAAAAACTGTAACATAATTTTTGGTTTTTGTGTGGGTTAGAAGCTTGGTCTTTCTCTTAAAGGCAAGGGTATAGATTTAGGGTGTTTGAGAAGAGGTTTGCTGGAGGGACCTTGGCTTTTGATGGTCAGATAATATTTAAATGAATCTTAAAATAACAAGGTGTGTAATTGAGAAGTAAATTCAACTGGCAGAGGATAGGGTAAACTAATGGACTTCAGTGAACACTGTAATGACCTGTCAAGTTCCATAAACAAAATGAGTGACTTTACTTTTCAAGAAAGGTCCTGCACCATGTAGTTATTTAGTATTTGTAATCTGTGTTTAGCCTTTATGGTGCAGAAGTAGGAGATTTAATCTGCTGCATTGTGGGGTTGCTAGACAGACTTAACTCTTCGTGTAATGGTTTAGTGGTATGCTAATATGGCACACAGTAGACAAAGGTTGAAATTAAATAAGGACCACACAGACTTCCAGATGAGTGGTCTGAAATTGTAATATTGCACTTGAGGTCTGTGCACGCGCGCACACGCACACACATATATGTATGCTCTCGATCACTACACATTCGCTCTCACGCTCGCACACACGCTGTTTTCCTGTTGAATGGCACATGAATTACACCACATACCTCATTTTGCCATTTATCAGATTGTATTTATTGTGTGGAGATTTATTCCCATTTGGTTTTATATATATTATTTTGATTCATTAGAATTTTTTGAATGAAACAGGAAGAAGTGCATTTGCTAGATCCTTCAACAGTAAAGTATAATTTGTGCAGTGTCTTGCAGTGTTATCTGTGTGAGAGTGCAGCAATACCTGTTAATAAATTAAATTTAGTAATTGTAAGGTTTTAGATTTTTATTCTAATCAACTTATTCATTGAAGAGTTGTCTGAGATGTATTACTGTAGTGTTGGAAGACTTCTGACATTTTATAACATGATGCCAGTAATTTCCATAGAAATGTTGGAAAATTCTATGCACTGTTAGATTAGTGCAAGATTTTTTGGTAATTGTATGACTTGGTAGAAACACAGTAAGTATTAATGGAAAGGTTAACACCATAATATTTTCTCATGTGGATTTTAGGAATCTTTGATGGTTCCTGAAAATGGACGCTACATTCGGCGATCCTTGGATCTTATAGCTGAATCACTACTGGACACACTACATAGTGGGCCAGGTTTTGATGCAAAGTCCCAAGCTGCAAAGTGTCTGGGACGAGTTGGATATGTTTTAGAGCAAGATTTCAAGAGGTTAGTATTTTGTACCCCATATCTTGAGATTGGATCTCCTTATAGTGTTCAAATTTGTGAGCGTAACAGCTGAATTAGTAAGATGACTGGCCCTCTAGTGGTTATCATATTGCTATTCCATAAAATCAGGATTTAACAATTGTGAGGTGCCAGTTCATCATACCATACCACAAACAGTTTTCATCATATTGCCTGATATTTTTTGCAGTATTATTTGAAATTTTTTCCATGTATGAAAAATTGAAGTATTTATGGAAACCATTCTGTTTGAGTTATGTCATCTGTTATCAGAAAAACATGAATTGTTGTTATATAAGTAAATATGTGAAAGCAATTATGGCTAGTCAGCACATGTCACTCATGTTGTGGTTGCCTTTGTTGTAAACATACTGTATAATGCTTTCTACTCATACATATGCTATGAGGCTTCATCAAGAAGTCTGAGCCATTTAAATTTTATGCATCAGACTGATAAATAGTATGGTAATTTCAGTAGTAAACATTCAAAGATGTGATTTGTTATAGGGTGAAGTTTTTGTGAAATCAATTTGTATTTTATAACCATAGTGAATGATCTCCTTCCCCCCTTATTTTTTCAGTTACTTTACTGGCTCTTTATTTTTGGAGGTGGTACATAGATCTTGATATCTTATGTAACAGGTTCAGTCATTTAGGAACAGATCTGTTGTTATATTTCGGTTAATTAGATTAAATGTGTTTTTAATTGCAGATACATGGATTGGATTTTCACAAAATATGCTGTTGAGAGAAATGACGAAGTGAGGTTGCTCTTGATGAAAGCTATGGCAGAAACATTGAAGTTAGAGGGAGAGGTGCCAAAGTTAAAGGAATTTTCAGTTGTGAGTATTTGTTTTTATAATTATGTAATTGACTCCATTAGTAAATAACCAGAAGTTTTCATTTTCTTTCCAGGAATCTTCTCATGCTCTTAATTTACAGTATTACTGCATGAATTGTTTATTTTATCAGTTGCATGTATTATTAATTTAATTAATTATAGGCTGCAAAAGAAGGGTTATGATCTTGATGGGTTTAGTCTCTGGGCCTATATAAATGAAAAGTGTAAATGATATAGACTGGGAAATTACAGTTCAGCTGCATATACATATTTTACATTTGAACATTTGAGGGAGAAATACACATGGAAGACTTGTAGAATTTATGACATATATGTTTGTTGTTGACAGAACTAATCAAGAATGTTATTTTTCTTCTGTATTTTATTAAAGCTTTAAAACTTAATTGCTGAAATTTTTCTTTGAATAAGTACACAGTTACTTGTCTGTGAAATACCTTGTTTACAATTGATGGGCATTTACAGCTGTTGCTTGCTTGATTGTCTGTTTGTTTGCTCTCCAGCTGAATACTTTGCTGCTCTTGACCTTGCTGTGTGACAATTGTGTTGACTCGACTAAACTGACTGACTTGCACTCCTTTACTTGAGATGCCCCTTCTGTGTGCGTGTTGTTTTTCAGGCTAATGACCTATGACTTCTGATACCAAACCACTTCTGAATCACTGTATACGAATCACATGTTTTGCTTCATAATAGAAATCACAACGCTATTTCCAAGGATGAAATATTTTCTTTTGTACTGATGTAAAATTAAAAGCTCCATTCCTAAAAGCCAAAAACACATACTAACCTCCATGTCATTATGGTTGGTGGTAACTGAAAAAAATATTCTGTTCACTCTTCACTGAAAAGTGTTGTTGCATATATTACCATTTATATTGAATTGTTGTAACATTGGGGTTTTTGAATTGTTGCAGGTGCTGATGACCCAGTTACAAACAGCATTAGAGAATACCGACCTGCCAGAATTACTCATGGGAACGGTTGATGTCATTATATTGTTGACAGAAATTTATCCATCAACATTTACCAAACATTTCAGGGTAAAATGATTCATTAAGCAGGCCTTAAGAAATCTTAATATAGAACTCAAAACTGTGCCCAAATATTAATAGCCATAGTAGAAAGAAAAGAAGAAAAAAAAAAAGGAGGAAATATATTTTAATCATAGGTTATAATACTTTTTGCATAGAAATTTTCACTGTGTTGTGTGGTGTCTTTGAATAGTTACTGCTTCAAGGCCAGTGCTGTTAATTAGGGTGTAAAACATGGTAGATTTCAGTTGGCTGTTCTTTAAACCTTGAAGGAATGTTGGATAGGATTGCATTGTGCAACCAATCATTATACATATAAATGATTCTGTTGTATTTATATTTTATGTTCTTTGGTAATTGTATCTCATAGGATACAGTGGACATTTTGGTTGGATGGCACATAGATGGAAGTCAGGCAATTACTGTGACCCAATATGCATCATGCAGCCTGCAGAAGCTAAATCGTTATTGGGTGGCAGACCTCCAGTTCTCGCTCACCTTGTTGGGACAGTTTCTTGAAGATATGGAAGCGTATGGAGAAGATCTTGTGTTCCCAACATCAGGGCGTTCATCCCCTGCTGAGGATCCTCCTCCAACACCAGAAGACTGCATCTTAAGAATTACTTCTCTCATAAGGTAAGAATGTCTCAGAGTTTGACACATTTGAATTATTAACAGTAATTTTGCCAGTTTCTGTATTTTTTCAGTTAAGACCTGTTATGTTTTCTGTTTTCAGTGTAAAGAACTAATACCTATCCTAGAAGCAGCGATGTAACTTTATGTAATGGTGAATAACAGGAATTTCTTACTCAGAAAACATCAAAATATTTAACAGTCTAGAAATTTACATTTGCTCTTTAGGAACAATTTTAGCTGTTGAAAAATTGTCTGGAGTTCAGCTAATAAAAAATTAAGTTCTTGCTATATAAAAAACGTTTACTTCCTTTAGGTTCAGAACATGTACATCTCTGAAGTGAAATATTTTTGAAGTTTATGTTTGTGAATTTTTTTCTTTCTTTCTTTGCCCTTAACCTTTATGCATAGCATTTTGTGATCAGATTGGTCAACAAATTTGGTTGATGGTATGAAAACTGAAAAGTTACGCATTGTGTGTGTGTGTGTATGTAGATCAGTTATATGCTGTGCAGCTAGAAACAATTGTGCAATACATTTTGGAATTATTATGGAATATATTGGTTTATGTATAAATAACATGTTGCTAAGAAAGCAGTATTGTGATTATTTATTCCAAATCATTATTTTCTGTCTCTTGTGACAGTTTTGGGTACGCTTTTAATTTTTGTTACTGACATTAGTATGTTCTTTTATTTCATTCTAGAGTGTTCAACACTGTTACAAAGAGTCTAGGACAACATTTAAATCCAACCGTGTCACCAGCGGTTGCTTGGACATTCATAACAGACTGTTTTGCCAAGATGCTGCGTACTGTGGTTAAAGCCTTGGACATTTGTATGGATGAAGATTTAATAGTTACAGGTATGCACAGATATCTGGTAAACCAAGCAGGTCCTCGTTGAAACATAATGCAGGACTTTTCTTTGGTATTGATTTAGTGTTCTGTCTGACGACAGGTCCATTGTTCTGCCCAAAAAGAGTTCGCCAGTTTTCCCTATTCGCAGCTTCTCATTTTAACTCCTGAAACTTCATCTCCTTTCCTTGCTTGAGATCGTCAGTTAGTTGTATCAGTCTTCTTCCCAGTCCTCGCTTTCCTTCAACCTGGCCTTCGATGATATCACTCAGTAAT